TAACCGAGCTAAGTCGGTCTGTATGGGAGAATCTTGACCTCGGTCGTGTGTACAGACCTCACTGCGTTTGTGCTCACGACCGAGGTCAAGATTCTCCCATACAGACCGACTTAGCTCGGTTAATGAGAGCTAAGTATAAATTATATAATCCAAACCTACAAAAATATTACAGAGGCACTGCTCTACCTTTTTGTTCTATTCTTACAAAGTTATGAGCTGTCAAAAACCTGAAAACTGGTACGAGCCACCTTAAATCTAATCTTCCGTTTGCCGGGGAGCTGCGCTGAGAACGGTCGGTAAATCGCGCGCGGTCTGCGATGTTTACCTCACGTGACCAGTTGCCCCAAAAAGGCCTGGTAACAAAACATCCAATATGGCGGCTCGGTGAAAAGTCTGCAAAATATTTTTGCACATATCTTATTCTTAAACCACCCAAGCCTCGATTCATAAGGGTAAAACTTTGTTAAAGACTATCTAAGGCCGATTATTCAACGTACGTCTGAAAAATTCGTTTTTTGGGGTGGTGATTTTAGATTTCTCGCGACAATCCTCGTGGAGTCTTCGAGCTACATGGATGTTGATCAGTTCTTGTCAACTGTCTTCCCATCGAAAAGGGACGAAAATATCGCCACCCCGAGGTAACTAGCAAAATTTCATACTGCTTGATTTTTTTTTTTGGATGTTTATTAGTGCAACGGAGGGACGTGAGATCACTTTGCAAGGAAATTAATCGTGACAAAATCACTCGTAATCATATAACTTGCAGTGCAGAAATTTTTTTTATAATTGCTTGCATGCAAGCTTATTTCATTTAACCATTACTCTTATTTCTATGCGTCAATGAACATGCCTATAGTTATGTATGATTAGCAATTATTTTCTAAGATCAGTCATCCAGAAAAATTAAAATGCGAAATTTAGTTTGTAAGGTGCTCGAGTACCATACATGTACAGATGTAGGACAATGTAATAACAGTCCTTTCCTGTAGCCCAGGGAGAGTGGATTTTTTCTGCTGTACTGGGAAACTAACATTTGTTTTTGAATATTTAGTTGACATTATTAACAAAAGGCTTTCAGGTTAGCATGCACTGACCCCAACTTGCTCATCAAAGGGTAACCGGCAAAATTTATGTTTTCTTCACTCTGTGATATTCCCACTTTTGTAGACGGCCGTTATTGGAGTATGGGACCCTTCAGGATCATATTGAAGAAATTCTTGCTCAGTATGATGAGGAGCCTAAACCAGGTATGTACATCCATTATATCTGACAATACTTATTTTAAAATAAAATTATTACTCCTTAACATGCTCTTGTTAAGTTATTCAAATCAGTCATTATTAATGAATGGAAAGAAACAAAATGATGAGAATTAACCCTTTGGAGCCCACATTAATTTTTAAGGATTTCAGAAAATTTTGACCCAGATAATTTAAAACATTTGTTTTTACCTTTTTAACATAATCAGGTTCTGCAAAAAACATTACGATCCTTGATAATTGCATTTTATTTTGAGTGCAATTAGTAACGTGTCTGATGAGACATGAAACCATCATAAGAGTTAAATTTTGAACAATTGTGTCACGCCATACTCAAAATAGAAAAAGTTATTAACCTTGAAGGCCAAAAAATGAAAATGAAAATTCCGATAACTACACAGAATGATAGAATAACTATCAAGGATTATTCTGACACCTCAGTTGACATATTCACTCAACTGTAAGACTTCCTATGCCAGACTTCACAAAACTGGGTACTCGTGTGACAAATCACTTAGTCTTAACAGATGTTACTGAATATCATTGTTTTTGAACTTGAGCTGGGTTAAATGTTTTGTCCACTTGGAACCATCAAAAGAATAGTTATACATGGCTTTCCTGCTGCTCTTGAATCGTAAAGATCTAGCCCCTCTGCTTTTTTGTCCCCAATAATGACATTCTCAAATAAATCTGGCTCCCGAGGCGGCATTTGTGTGTTAAATCATTGTCATTGTCACTTTTGAATTCTTCTATGTCAGATTCAAAACCATTTACTGGAATAGCGAAGTTTCTATGCAAATAATGAAGTATTTCTTGAGCGATCGCTATACTTCACAGACCTGCTCATGTTTATAAGTGGTCTTTAAATCATGTCTTGTCACCAAAAGCAAAAATTTGTGAAAAAAACTAGATGAAAACAACTCTAATGGGACTGAAATGGTGTCTCCATGTTTGTTTTGTCTAATTTGGCCATTTGGGAGCTGGTAATGACTAAGGGGAAGACTGCTGGTTAAAGGAAGTGCTGGTTACTCTGCTGACTGATATATGGGACACTGGCCCCCAAAGGGTTTTAAAGGAATTCAGGCTGGGATTATGTTGCATTTTACATGTTACAGAGTTGCGAATAAAGCAGACTAGAGATGCATTCTACAATGTTTAGTTTTAACCCCTGAATAAAGTGACTTGGGCCTGGTTGTTCAAAGTGTGGATAATGCTATCCACCAGATAAATCGCTCTCCACCGGATAAGTATTGTCAAGGCAAACCATGCTATCTGCTGGATAGTGATTTACTTTTTGAACAACCAAGGCCTGTATATAACTATGTATGTAAATCTGAAATATACTTCATGTAATAATTTGTACAGGTTCCTGAAGTAAACGGTTCCAAGATTCTAATACCAACCTCATGGAGTAAAATAATCAGAAATATGCCAGGATTAAGAGCAGTCAGTTATTCAGATATGGGATGAATTGCAGCCTAACAGTGATTTTGTACATGCTGTGACTTGTTTTGCTTACATGTACATTTGTTAATGGCAATACACTGCAAGTAATCTTAAACTACAGGATATGTCTCTGAATGGTCACTTTAAAATAGGCCTTATCATGGTTTTCAACACCATCTAGACGGGTATGCAATTAAAGTGGTCAGATATTGCAGTGTTTATATGGGAATCTGATGGATTGGGTAGGTGCGATTCGCGGGTAAAAAAGATTACAGACAAAAACAAATGTATGGGACATTAGAAAAATTAACTGAGCATCTTCTAGCCAAGCTACATCCTTCAGACTTGGTGAATCTATGTACAGGCTTCTACCCAGTATTTTAATGTTGAGATTCACAAATTGTGTAGAATTCAATTTTGGAAAAAGTTATTTGCCATTGGATTCCCATACAAACACTGTAATTTCTGACCACTTTGCCTAACCATCAAGATGGCGTCAAAAACTGTGTTAAGGCCTATTTTAGGTTACTGTAGACCTTCAAGGGCTGACTTTGTCCAAAATATTTTTTCACGCTAAATTCACGACTACTACATGTACTTAATTTAAAGTCAAGGTAAAAGAAATTGATTTAAAACTTAAAATGCGAAAGANCTTCTAGCCAAGCTACATCCTTCAGACTTGGTGAATCTATGTACAGGCTTCTACCCAGTATTTTAATGTTGAGATTCACAAATTGTGTAGAATTCAATTTTGGAAAAAGTTATTTGCCATCGGATTCCCATACAAACACTGTAATTTCTGACCACTTTGCCTACCCATCAAGATGGTGTCAAAAACTGTGTTAAGGCCTATTTGAGGTTACTGTAGACCTTCAAGGGCTGATTTTGTCCAAAATATTTTTTCACGCTAAATTCACGACTACTACATGTACTTAATTTAAATTCGAGGTAAAAGAAATTGATTTAAAACTTAAAATGCGAAAGAGTTAAAATCTGCGACTATACTATTGTTGTCTAATACCTGTATACTGTCTAGAGCTGGATGCTGAAGAAAGAGCTTTAACAGATGGAAGAATTGGACCAGAGACAGTAGGAATTGATAGAGCTAGTCTTTGTGGCTCTATGAATATTAATGATGGCATCGAGGTACATGTACTTCAAGAAAAGTATTTATTTCAATGATATTGCTGGCTAATGTTTAGTTTTGAGTACATGTAATTTCGAGTTTGGTGTTTTTGTCACCCCACGCTTGATGCGCAAAGTGGGTGCTTCAATCTTAAATTTTGAAGATGTAATTATTAAACTGAGTGAAATCCCTTTTGAATGGAGACTCTAGGGCACTTCCCTGACCCCAGTTGTTCAAAGGGTGGATAGTGCTACTGAACAACAGGGAGGTGATGTCCTTTTAATAGAGGGTTGTTACATGTATGACTGCCTAATTACAGTAAATAATGTTAACAACTAACATTTTGCAGTTTATCTATTATTAATAATGGTAAAGCATTCCAGATCGACAGTGTTGAATTTGTCCCCTGTCAACGATAAGTTCCCCTTTTTGAGGTTATAAGATTGCTGTGGCCAAATTAAGTTAACAGATGTCTTGTGTAAATTTGTGTTGTTTACTAGATTGAAAGCAAAAGCAACTTCGGCAGTGTTAGAGCAAATCTCTGTGTTTGCAAAGGTATTCATGAATTCCTTGATAATATATGATTAATATATGTAAATTAGTTTAGGTAATCGGACGGTTTCAAGTTCAATTTGGAATTAATTTGCACTTGTGAGTTTTTCAAAAAGCTGAAATTGCACTCGCCGAAGTGGCTCATGCAATTTCAGCTTTTTGAAAAACTCACAAGTGCAAATTAATTCCAAATTGAACCAGAAAAACTGTATGATTACTTATTAATAACATAAACATGAAAATATTTGCGTAGAGGAAGTGCCAGAAGACCTTTCTTGAAGCCATGTTTTCTCATTTGAAAAAAATTTTTTCAAAGTTTCTGCACAAAATTTTCGTCCTCATTGTACCTAATATCATTGTCTTCAAAAATTTTCTATTGTCTTTCAGCCAATCATAATTCAGGATTACAATGTGTAATTTGCACTGGTGTTACACTTTTTGCACTGGTGTTACATTTGAACTGCCTTGCCCTCAGCCAATCAGAATTGAGTAATTTTTTCATGTATATTATTAATTAATAAATTATGAAAAATAATATAGATGAGTCAGTTGCAATCTACTGTAAACACTTACTTATTAGATTGCAAAATGGAATTTGTAAGTAAACTTAGAATATAGCATGCACCTAAATTTATACTAACAGTATTCATGACTGTGTATTATTTTTATAAAATATACAGTCATTTTCAAGGCCACAAAGTGTTTTGCTAGGAAAAAATGCTTGAATATATATCGTGTTCTGATCAATGTAGGGGGCAGAGGGCTTGTTTAATGAGGTAGACCGCTGGCACCAATTGGAGTGCCAAATGGACAAGCCTCTAGGAAGGGGCATACTCCCCCAGAAAAATTTGAAATTGGCATGCTCTGAAATGCCATTTTAAGCATTCTCTTGGAGATATTTTGCCCCAAAAAACTGTTTTGGAAAAGGTCAAACTACCAAGAATATTAAGAGATTACAGAGACTGTCTTTTCAATTTTTTATATACATGTAGTGCTAGAGTAACTGAAAACATATACCACACCCTGACCCCGTGCCCCATCTCTATCTACAGACTTGACTTGGCTGTCCTGAGACAAGGACAGTCAAGATTCAGTTACGTTCCAAAACAGGTGTTTTCTCCATACATGTATGTAAATTACCACTTCACAGGTATTACACATATTTCACAAAAAGTACATGTAGACAACTAAGAAATTGAACTTGCTGTTTTTTAAGCCAGCAGCTGGCACTTAATGAGAACCCTGGAATATATAGTAGTTAAATTTTAGTTTCTGATTGTATTGTTTTCAAGGCAGGTGGATGTATGAGATATTGTTAGGGTCCAAAGGGATCATGCAGCTGGGATGGGCGACCTTGCAGTGCAGGTTTACTAACGAGGTCAGTCTGGAAAAATGATGTGAGAAAAAAAGGTCACCTTTATCATGATTCCAAAAATTTAATGACTAAACTTGCACCAGGCCAATGGCTATTTGAAAGATACATATAACAAGTTGATCTGATTTGAGAAGCCAGGAGGTCAAATCCTCACCATGATTTTTTTGTTGTTGTTATTTCTATTCCCCCACTGAATGGTTTTTGAAATTGCAAGTCAGGAGTTATTAGGGGTGACAAACTGCAGGATGTTTTTTTTTATTTATTGAAGGAGTGTGTAAAGCTCAACTGGAATGGGGGTGCAAGCTAAACAAAAACAAGGGAAACAACAATGAAAACAACACCTCTTCTGTGAATGTTTGGTACATATATACTGTACAGTGTATGTGTGATGATTCGAACAATTTTAAACTTTTGATAATTTACACAGTTGAACACTGCTATTTCAAACTCTCAGGGGAAGTGAAAAATACAATCAATTGTATGGTGCACATACATGCAGTTTGAAATAGTGGGAGTTTGAAATAGCCTATAGTAAAGGACTGAAGGGCAAGTTCGAGATAATGGGGAATTCAAAGTCTAACTAAGTTCGAATTAGCGGGATCCAACTGTACTCTTTTAGCATTAAATCCAACAGCAGCAGCAAAACTCGGTCTACAGAAATTAATTCAGAGTGTGGCTGGAGTAAAACTGCTGGCCTGGTGAATTTTTATTAACTTTGAAGGGAGGCGTGGTGACCTCATCGTTAGTGCGCTCGTCTCCGGATCGAGTGGTCCGGGTTCGAGCCCTGGCCGGGGACGTTGTGTTGTGTTCTTGGACAAGACACTTTACTCTCACAGTGCCTCTCTCCACCCAGGTGTATAAATGGGTACCGGCGAACTTAATGCCTGGGGTAACCCTGCGATGGACTAGCA